CGTCATCTCGTCACTTTTTTGTATGCTCCAAAGAAAGATTACATAACAGTTAGGTAATTACGTTTAGAGATGCATGAACTGAAATTGTGATCAGCTCGCAAGGTTTCATCAATCTGCTATTCACTTATTGTAACCGGTCGACTGACTAAAAGAGATTACAATTCTAATCATGTTAACAACTTAGCGCAATATTTTTCCACTTCTCTATAATCCCAAACCGTGTGCACACTCAAACCAACACTTGATTATCTCGTTCAATCCAACCAACCCCCCCCCCCCAAATAGCTGTGATGTTTGCATGAAAGTGTTTTTTCAGCTTGTGATGCCAACGTGACGCTCATCACTGAAAAGCCATAGAAGTATAATAATCATAATCACTAGTATTCCTCGTATTAATTGCACCGATATGGTTCTTTGACTTTCGTTCTGCTGATGCTCATCTCTCCAACCTGTATATGATTATATATTAATTCTATCTTTTGCGAGAATATGATAGAACCGAAGAGATCGGAACCCGGTTGTGGATACCTCTCAGACCGTTGGACAAAGTATTTTCCAAAACCGAATCTATTAACTACATAAGTTTTCTGCCCAACTCTAGGTAAAACCGCACTTCTTTAATCGTAAACTGACAATTCTGTTGCCTCGATCCACCATTCTCTAACCATGATTTAATTGTTTTTTAGCCGTGACGCACAAACTTTAGTCACGTGATTGTAACTCTGTCAGTCCAAAAGTCAGCGAATGGTAAAGATTTTACTTTAAAACTGGATGAAAAGTTGTGGTATTCGTACATCATGCACCTGGCTGTCATAATGGTGTCATCTGTTTCACCGAAAATTGAAGTCCCAGAAGTTGTCCAAACGGTTGAGGCATCCCGTGTGAACTATAATGTTCTGTCTGTTCACTAGAAAAAAAAGACAAACGAATCAAAGTTTTGAAAGAGAAAAAAAACTTACTTAAATGATGATGATGATGAGTGTTTGGATTAGTCCATTCGGTTATTCACAGGCCCTGTTGATGATGTTCAATGTGGGCTTCACTCTTTGGGAGATCGTGAATTCCCCGATCCAAATGTTCGCGATTCGAGTATGCGCACTGCGCACTGTGGCCCCAGAAACAGGACAAAATAATTGTCCCGGCGGTGCTCTTTGTCAGTTATCACAAACATTTTCAACATATTTTGAAAAGTTTACTTCGTTGAAATCACGGAATGCTTCCTCCAAAATGGGGAAAAATGGGTCGTGTGGTGGTACAAAGCGATTTTGGTGCTTGTCGGGTAATTGTGCTCAGTGTCAGTAGTAACTGACTCCGAAAAAAAAATATCATAGCAACTCATCAAAAATATGCCAAGTTATCTTTCTGTAACAATAATATATCAATCAAAATGGTAATATGTCCCTGTTAGTCCTTTACTGGACGGAAGAGTTCAAACTGTTTTACAAATCTCTTGTGGATTTATCCAAAATTGCAATAGCCTCCGTAGCTGTACACCAAATCGATACTGAGGATCGTTTCGCAATTGACATCTACCTTGGAAAGATACATGAGTTCCACCAATTTGTATGTGAGCTGCCTGTCGGTTCCTCTTGGAATTAGCACGACTGCATCGGATCTATTCGAGGAGAAAGCGAATTGTAAGCTCTACTAATACAGGGGGCTAAAACCGTCCGCGTATTAGCACTAGCAGGAATACTTGTACTACACAACCGAATCTGAATAAGTCTCACAATTAAATTTCACAAGAAACCCGGGGGAGGAGGTATAGAGTTTCCAGCAACTGTACAGGATCACATGCTCCCCGTATGAACATGACGCAAGCATTGTTGAAATTCTTTAAACAATCTTGTTTCACGATACAAACCAGATTAGGAGTGCACAAATTAGATTTCACATAACTGACACCAATCTGTCCGGATCAACAGGATCTCCAAACACAGCCTGGAATCAGGTATTTTTCTTTTTATACTTCAATTGTGTCACACTAAAAATAGAGTGAAAAAATAATAGACACTGTATAAGTTTCAAAAACGAAACAAGGAAAATTAAATCGGTTTACAGCTGAAAATTGAAAAGCAGCACCATGTGTGTGTGTGTGCTCTGATACGAAGGTGACAGTTTATCATCTAACTCTTCAATTTTAAATGTCCCGTTTTCGATTTATTGTGTCCCGACTACAGCGATGATTCAACAATCAATTGGTCCGTCCAAGTAACGAAATCTGAATAGGTTATCACAATCATTACAGTCATGTTTGCAGTATTCCAACGGGGGACAGGAAGGTGGAATTCAGTATGGATGGATAATGTATAAAAGATGCATGCATTTGGAACATTTCGATGAATTGAAGAGAAAAACAATATGATGATCGCATTAAGACAACATCACCAACAGACCCGAGGATAGAGAAGACAAAGTTGGAAAGATCACTGAGGTGTGTTTGAACAACAACTACAACTACAACGAAAACAATACCACTTTGAAGAATTGTGCAGTATCATCTATTCGGAGCTTGGACAGGCTTCCGGTAACTTGAACTATCCAACACATTCTAGGGCTAACCAGACGTTTCAAGTTTTCGAAGAAGAACCGGTCGAAGAACCGGTCATTCAAGAGCCAAACATATGCACAGACATAATAGCATAGTTATCAATAGTAGCAATAGTAATCAACTGAACTGATTTGGATCTGTTTCGTTTTTGAGCGAACTGGAAGGTCTGAAACCAGTCCGTTTGAAATCGGACTAGAAGGTGGGATTTGCATGGGTAAAACAGTTTAAGACAGCTAACGTACGNGAGAGAGAGAGGGTTGCCCATGCGTCGTGTGTGTGTGTGTGTATATGTGTGAAGGACATCTGAACGATTGATGTATACTCAGCCATTTCCGTTCCACAGCTTATCTCATCATCCTAGATCAACTGCTATATTTCGAAAATAATTATTTCCAATTAGGAGAAAGTAATCTATACTCTACCTCAATCTTTCTAAACTTCCGCCCCCCTCCACGCGCTCCTAGTAAGAAACAAAATTGCTTTGATCGCGTGACCTTGGACGAATTAATCATCGATAGAACTTTTTCCGGTATCACATGATTCCGGACATTGAATACAGTGGAGTACCAAGGGAGCAATCTCTCTGGTTCGATCTAACCGTATATCCGCTAAGATTTTCTCTCACTCTCTCTCTCTCTCTCTCGGTAGCTCGACACACCGACACTGACGGGCATATGGTTGCCTAATCGTCGGATGATGCAACCCTAACGCAATCAGACCACGGATCGCATGCAGTTCGAACAAATAATCGCTCAACAGGTTCGAATGCATTACGTCATTCTCTATTTGAGATTATAGATGAAATACGGGTCAGTCGGAAAGTGGGCGCGGGCGGAGGGGGGGGGGGNGGGGGGTTGGTGATAGAGAGATAACCGCGACAATTCGACTTGTCGAACGAAAATAACCAATTCGTGAACTGCTCGCATTCGGTCAACAATGTCCATTCCATCAGAAAGGAACAATTTTTCACATTCTCGGTCGTTTGGACGCGTGAATTCGGTGGTGGTGGTGGTGGTGGTGGTGGTGGGGCTTCTGTTTGTTGCGTAGCCAAAATATGGGTTCCATTCTCCGTCCTCTTGATTGCGTCATATTAGACAAACACGGGTGCAGACACACACACACAAGGATTCACCACAGGCGCATCATACTCGTAGACTGAGGTCATGACGGACAGACGGACTGGGTGAATGAGAAAGAGAGAGAGAGAGCACAAGAGCAAGAGACGTGTTTTGGTGATCTCGCTTCGTTTCGTTTGCTCCCTCGAGCATGATTCGAATTTGTTCAGCCAGGCATGAGAGTGTTCTTCTCGAACAACACACACACACACACATAGGATCTGTGTTGGCATTTTTCCCAAAGGATGGTAGTTGCTAAGCGGCTGGGATACCCCGCGGCGAATCACACATGTCGAATGAATTTGGTAGCGTCAGCGTGAGTGCAGAAATATACATAGTGTGATGCTGCTGTCGCTGACACGCATACGATACGTGGGAACAAGATCANCTGTGAGACATCAGTGTGGATAAGAGGAACAGGTGGGATGGACAGAATTTGGGGAGCCTGGGGGGGGTGTGTGTGTGGGGAAGGGGATTTAAACCCAATGTGTCATTTATCATCAATTTCACCCATTTCAGCAGTGCGGCACAAGCAGTATCCATGCCATACAGGTTTTTGTGAAAATCCAAACAGCAATGGTCAGATCACATGTGCCTGTGTCGTTTTGCCGNGCTCCGCTTTGAAATGCTTCGAAAGCACGGGACAATAGTTTCCTAATCCGACCGATCCACTGTTTGCACAAAGTGAGGCACTCTGACCCATAGTTTGGACCATTCGGATTGTTTGGGTTGACCGTCTCGTCATATCCTATGTTACCGGTCTGTCAACGTTACTGAAGAGGCTGCGAAGTGTCTGTGTGTGTGTGTGTGTGTTACCTGTTCTCAAGACTACAGAGGTGAGTGTGCTGATACCAAAAGTATCCTGGATACTGGCCACAATGATCACACAACTACTACTGTGGCAACGAAACTGCTTGTAGTTACCGGGGTTGAAAGATTGTCACACAAACCACAAATACCTTCGACAATTTTAAATATCCCGGTTTCGACTTATTGTATGTCCTGTTACTATGTGGACCGTACCGGCGATACGAGTATGTTACCATGATCATCGCGGTAGACCGAATCGACACATTGACCACGATACGACTCAGTTGATCCGCACAAAGAAATCGAACTACCCCAGACGAGAACTGTTTATGATCCGCGGCGTCAAACCACAAAAGCCTAGAGAGGCTTGTACCAACTGGGCATGTGTCAAGCGAAGCGTTAGATGTTGCCAAGTTTGACAAAGAAAGTCACCGAGTTCCATTAATAGGTGGAGTGGCAGGTGTGTGGAGTACAGCGTAGTCTTCGGTGGGATTATCAGTGAAAAACAAACGTGACACATTCGAATGCCGCCTTGGAGACGGTGTAGTGCTGCTGCTTTCAGTTTCATCTGTGGCTTGATTGATTCGATTGACATTCAACCGCCGAGAACGAGAATCACACTATCCAATATTGTGAGTCCTTATTAGATTTGGTTGGTTTTCGGATTTTATCGGATCTAACCGCGTTGTCGTTCACATAGCCCAACCGCCTTGACGATCTCCGGTTGGCAACACAAAACCTGCCCGTTCCCCCATCCATGAGCATTGTGTAGCAGCAGCTACTGCTGCCATGCAAATCCGTTGAACTGACTGATGTGGATTACAAATCCCGGGTAGCACAGTATGAATAGAACATGTAAGCATATTGCCCATTTGACCAGTGGGCGAATTCTGCTGGTCAGAGTACACACACATCATCACCATCATCCTACGCATGCATCTAAACAGATACTCAACACACATCCCAGGAGAAGTGTTCGCCACCTGCCAGTTTGTTCAGTTCTCTTCTCATAGGAGATCACCGGATAACAGCCTCCTATCATTATTCAGTCTAACTCGCGCCCAACTTGAAAGTAACCTTCTTCAGGGAGTAAAATGTACAGGCGAAGGAACTTGGTCACTGTTTCAGTGTGTAGTTCATCGTCTCACGCATCTGCGTGATATTGCCCGAGGACAAGAAGGACCGAGTCGTGTACTGTGTGTGCATTGGAACTAGCAATGGCTTTATCTTATGGTTTATGTGCGGTTGTGTACGCTTGAGTACTTGTGTTACTAGCATACAGGCCATGACTCCCACGCACATACCGCAGGCATTAGTGACTATAGTTGAGCGAACAAGCAGACTGAGAAAGACACAATGAAAACAGGGCAGAGAGCGAGAGAGAGGGAGCGAAATCGGACCACCTGCAATACACAACTGCAATCAACAGCACCCCCTTCCTCAAAATCGTGTGATTCGATCAAACCGATCTGTGTGTGTGTGTGTGTGTGTGTGTGT